GTGTTGATATTTGGTTCGGTGTGAGTTGCAATCAGTGAACCATATTCACAATAGATTACAGTTCACGTTTCCCTTACCCGGTCAACTACACGTACTCATTGTGTACTGTGCAGGCCGGAAGCGTTTTGCTCAGCTCTCGTATCTGAGTTGTAAATTTCTCTCAGATAATCGTTTTGTCTGCAGATTAACTTATCACTGAAGAAAATCGAACTTTATTGTTTTGCTTCAGTTGTGTCATTTCCTGTGAGAGGATGAGCTTTATTGTTGATAAACCGAACAATAGCTACAAATATACAATGAACCGGTGAACTGTGTTTTTAGGCAGGTTTTGTTTTAAAAGAGAACAGGACGCACGCAATTTGGACTGTCGTGTGTTTCACGATAATTCATACACGGAGTTTGAGCAGATTACCACCGCTGCCCCACCAGGAGGAGCTCGGTAGTTGTTCGTGGACAGCTTTACCAACCGGTTTTCTGTTTTGGTTCAATGCGTTCAGTCATTCGTACACTCGGGAAACAACAGACTCGAGTTATGAGGTTATTAAGGCTTATGAGTGATACCTATCGACCGGACAGTCTGGGGTCATCGCAACGAAGGCAAGTGTGTGATTTCACTTTGACAAACGGGGTCCGAATTGGGGCTGAGTAGAACTATTGGGTCAAGTTTGTCTCAATGTATCGTTGAGTGACAGTTGGTCGGTCTTAGGTCTGACAGCTTCAAAATGGAGATGCCGCATGCCGTCTCTCAACTCAAGTTACAATGTGAGATTCTATTCGACGATTAGGAATTCGTCTTTCATAACTTATTAATTCAGTACCTAATAATGCTTTGAGTTATTCAAATTTTCGTTCATGGATCCAGCTTCCGGGACGCAATCATCATTAGAGTCTACTTAGACGATTCTGTTTCCCTCGAACAATCAACCGATATTTTGCTGTCCACTGATGCAACTTAAAATTTATGTCAAACTACATTAACAAATGAATGTTGCCCGAAGCGAAAAGGAGAGAAAAATACTAAAAACGAACAACCTGGGATGATTTTATGAGATCAAGTTTGGGACGCCAGCTGGTGCACAATTGATATGAATATTAACAACAATGGTGGGAACAATAATAATAACAACTGAGGTGACACTTTCTGATGTGTGGATAGTAGTTAGATGTGGTCCCTTCACCGTCATGTGTTCCTTTTTGTTATTTTGGTTGTGGTTTTTTGTTGAAAAAATGCGCTCGCATAAAAGTGGGAAAGGATAGCAGTGCAAAAGAAGTACATGATATTCATAGGCCAAAACGGCTAGAAAAGGGGGTGGGTGGATGTTAGTGATGATGGTCAATGAATTAAATCACGATCAGACGGAAGTCCGAGAAGATGGCTTGCGATAGAAGTATTTTTGATGACCGACACACAGAACTGAACAGCTGTTTCATCCTGTTTTGGACTCGTCAGCAGTGCGTACGCTTTGTATCCCTGTCACGACTCAAACCGCGATCCTTCGGGTCGAGACTTCAAACCCTTGCCCCTGAGCTACACGGTCGACGGTTGTCACTTTGTTCGAATGGTGTCTGGGAAGAAAACCGAATGGGCCTATGCAAACGGTCACCGTCTGAAATGAATTGCGATAGTTTGAGCAATGGAAGAGTGGAAGAGAAAACTAACAGCTAATCGGCGTTGGATTCAAGGGAGACAGTTGTACCTGAGAACTGAAGGAAGAATGTTTGGTGATTGCGATCACACACATACACTGAGAAGGTGAACGTCAAACAAGCGCTCGTCGTTCATTGCAGTGTTTGTAGGCGCTTAATACACGAATCAATTACAGGGAAACTTCTGGTAGATGAATGAATGAATGGGCGCTTTCGAAGAAATTGTGGAAAATACTTGTTCCGTTTGAAAAGAATATGTGCCTAATTTTATTTCCGTTTTCGGCTGTTTCCATCTGTGTCTCTCGAAAAGATGACTAATTCTTATATGCTTCGTTTGAGCTGAAACAAAAAATACATGTGTAATGAATTGAATGGATGTTCGAATTGATTCGCAGACCGGGAGAACGAAGCAACGGAGCGCGGTAAAAGGTATCACACTGGGTAGATCCTTTGATTAACGGCCTGGAACAAGCTTCAACAGCTTTTGAAAAGCAATCGTGAAGTTATCTGAAAGGGAAATAAATGCATAAATTATGGGTAACTGTTCTTTCACCGAATTTTTAAACTCGCCTCTTAATTGAACCAAAGTGAAATACTTTCTGATGGGTAGTGGGGGTCGTATCCTTTCGAATTATTGTACAAAGGTGTTAACCTAACTGATGGGTTTATAGACAGATGATCGCAATGGTAGTAGATAAGTGGAAATATTATTTTATCGGGAACAATTGTACGGTATAATCGTAATATGACGAATAGAAATAACGGTTCTGATCAGGATTAGTTCATTTTCGTGAGCAAATTTACATTTTCTTCTCTTTTCATAAGAAACCACTCAAGATAGATGGCGGAAAGCTCTAGGTAACAAGAACGTTAGTCTGTACTGTTCTTCCGCTCCATACTTGACGAAAATGGGGTATCAAAGTTTGCCAGGCAGCAGTTATCTATGAACAATCACACCGCAAACCTGACAGTCAAATTAGAAGCAGAATCCCGAATAATGAAAAGACGTTTAGGAATCAAAGTTAAATATAAAAATATCCATATTAAATGTTATTCCCATAATCAAACATCGTAACCGAGATCATTGAATACACGTTGAACAGATGAGTATTTCTTCTTGACATGCGAAAATACCCTCGACGGTCTGAAAAACCCTACTTTTCCGGTTATACCAACCCATGAAGCCCATGTACTTACTGTGTGGCGAACCGTGAAACGGTCCACGTTCAGGGAAGAAGAAGAACCGGAAAATTGGCGAAATGCTAACAACATGAATATCGACTAGTTTATCCAACGTTTTCCACATATTATTATGACCGATAAACGGTTGTTTTGTTCTCATTCAAACTCATCAGCACGGTGTACTTTTTCTTTCCCTGCTATAATTGTAAACAAACTTTTCAGCTGGGAACCAGAACTGGTTAACTTGGAGCTGTATAATCTATACAGTGAACAAGATTAGAGAATGACTGTGAGCAGTACCCCGTTCTTGTGAAACCCCCATAGGTTAACGTGAGACCAACATTCTTCAGGATTCACTCACTTCTATCCCTGCATGCGAACATCAACAGACTGCAATCGACCGGGATCATGTCTAAATCGACGAACTTGCAATAGCAGTTAGTTGGATTGTCGTCAAATCACGAAAGCATCTCAAACCACCACCAATGTGCCTGACGAAAACAGCCAGCAACAATCAACCACACCTGTGACCTTTATCACTAAACTAACAGTGTGTTGTCTCCCTCCCTAAGCGCGTCACGCGCCTTTTGAATGGTGTTCTCGCTACAGAAAAAACTGTGTAGGTGGACTGACGTCAGTAAAGATCAATTCAATGGAACTTCTACAAAAAAACCTAGTTATTATAGTGACACAATGTTTTCAATTTAAGCAGTAAGCTCGAAGCTTAAACAAGCAGCCACATTGGGGAATCTAGTTTGTGAATCGTCAATCTGAATCAATCGATCGGACAAACCTCTGAGCAGGTCGTTCATTTGCACCCTTCCCCGAAGAAACTGAGTCAAATGGCAATGCGAGAACGCAACCCACAGGCTCATTTACCCCCACCCTCACCCCCACCTCTCGTGCGTCGTCTGTGCTTCTCGAGAAAAGAGCCAAACATTTTGTTTTGACCTTTCTCCCCGGGTGTTACATTTAAGTCACAGTCACGCCTACCGGAAAAACTCAGACCAGACACGTTCAGCCAGATCAAATGTACTTTATCACCGACCATCTTGTAATAGCCGATAGCCGTCACTTATTTTTCATGAAAGGTCAAAACAAAATGATCGACTTTCCTCGCCGGATGCATAAATGATGCAGGAGGAGGAAGGGGTATTCTTTGTCACAATGTCGCCGGATGAAAATGAAATCGTCCACGACCAGATGCGGAATACATTGTGTCAAGGTTCGAACCTCTGGCTCCCAAGTTGGGAGAAAGCTAGTAAATACAACTCTAACCGCTTGACCAACATCGCTCAGTTATGCGATGCATTCATAAAATTTCAGGTTGCAAGGGCCACGCGTTAGAACACGAAACAACTGTACACAATGTCCAGATCATGTAAAAGCCTAACATATCATTGTTGAATGTGGAAGAAACAGGCTTTACCACGAAAGGTAGTCAGGTTTTGAAAGCTTTTAACCCATTCTTAACCGCGGACATTAATGCTGAGATGAGGGAGGACCGAGACCCGCTACAAGCTCGAAAAGGTGGGTTGTGCTGTATCTTGTTTATTCTCAATGAGAAGCGGCCTGATTAGCTTCGCGGTGTTTGATTGAGTATCATGCTTGCATTCAGCCTGTGAGATCCCTAGTTGGGTCGATGGATTAGCAATGCTACTGATGAGACCCAACCAGATCAAAATAGCTGCACATTACTGTCTGGCTTTTGGGTTCACACTTCATTTGCTCCGTGCATGACGAATTTCCTCTTTGAAAGGTCTCAACTGTGCTTCTTGAAGTTCATTTTAGGAAATACGCTCTTTGAAATCTCAACAATTTTCAGAACTGAAAATGATTTCTCATCAATCGGTATGCGGTTTTTTGTAGTGTGCAAAATGGACTTCACTTTTTGTGGGAAACGAAATTCACCAAGAGTTAGGTTATCTTGGTAAACGTTGTGTGCGGCCGACAAAACACGTCACATACGCGCATTCACGCCAGATGTTCACGCTGACGTAATGCTCGCTAAATAATATCATCTTTGGCAGAGTCCAAATCTACGTAAACAGTGGCCAGTCTTAGCTGACAAACCGACCACAGTGGTAGTACAGAGTGTTCACGTCACTCTGTGTACCATGTCAAAGTGCTGTCTGTGCCAAACGACAGACCGACGCGTTGTTGACAAATGTTTACAACACATCCACGTCAAACATCTTAGCCTCCCCCGTACAGAGCCCTGGTAACACATGAAGTTTCATTTCGCCTATAGCTAGTAGCAACTCAAACAGACTTAGATGAACACAACCTGACTGGAAACAGGTCATCGAAACACACCGAATGAGACCAGATTTAATTATTATCTTACGCATATGTGTTCGGATTTTCTTCGGTAGCTTGTCAAAGAATCGAGCGAGGAAATAGAACGGGATCCCGGCGACAATAATTGCCACTCCATAGCCTGAAAAAAAACAGAAGGGGTACGAAAAACAAATACATGATCGTAGACGTTATTCTCAAAGAGATGCAAAAATGCATCGTTCAAAGTGATGCATCTCAAAATACAGAAACAAATTAGTGGACGTTCTTAATGAAAAGATCCACGAATAAGTGCGTTTGGGCATTGTTTTACCATCGAGCTTGGATCAGCTAATTATGCTTGAACTTCGATTTAAGCCAGTAATTGTCTTGATACTAATTCAAAAGAGCACTTTTACTCAAAACAATATCGAATCGCATTTGATAAGCAACAAAACAGAGAGTAAAGAGTAAGGGGACATTGCTCATACAGCGACTTTTGTTCGCCCAGTTCGGACCAGGTATCGTAAACACGAAAAGCAATGTTTCATCTGTGGAAATCTTTTTACCTCCGGGGTGTGTGTGCGCGCAATTCTCGATTTAGTTCATTTTGTACCTGTCTGTCAGCGTTTCGATCTTCATTGCTTCCTTAAACTACCCAGCCATCCATCTAGCATAAGTGAACTTGAATGCTGCCGTAACGGATGCACGAACATTCGTTCATTTTGGGCACTCAATTGTTTTACGTCATTCTTGGACCGACCTGGAGATCACATGTTTGACTTCCAATAACTAACCTGGATCTTGTCATCTCCTGTATTTCCTCAACAAGACCCCTGATTGGCTTCAGTCGCCCTATCTTAAAATTGAATTTACACTTGTCCATACAATAAATAAACTCCATTAAAAAAACATTATCAGTATAATTTACCCACTACTAAAACAGTCAGTATGTAACTGGTAGGCATTTGATTAGTTCACTATAGCTGGGAGTCATACGCTAAAACTAGCTTAGTTACTAATTCGCATCAAATATTCCACCATATTAGAGAACAGGACTCGCTCAGAGTCTTGCCGCACAAGGTTATTGTTCCACGTGGTCAACGAACAATATTTTACGTTCATCGCAACAAACTGGGGTCCAAACCGACCACAGATGAACAGCTTACCGGACTCGGTAGGTGAGCCGACGAAAGCGAATACCACTAGGAACAGGGTGCCCAAAACGTAGATGATTGCAAAGACCAGCGGAGCCTGTTGGATTGGACACATGGGCGGGGATGGGTTAGCGGTAGAGGAAATGAAACAAAATTAGGCGCACATGAATAATTGGAAAGTGGGGAATAAGAACAGAACTGTATGGGCTTATTCTACAGTATTCATGCACTCTCTTAAGCGCACACGCTGGTTAAGTTGAATGGGGTGGATGGATTTCAATAAAACGCATTTTTTGCTCATATCAACTATTTTGAAACATATTTGCAACTTTTGTGCAATTTCTTGCAATTTTTTTGCAGTTTCTTTCAGTATTTGTTTGAGCGACAATAGAAAGGCTTATTAACTAATTCTGTATACATTTCATGTTTTATCCTGTTTAAACCGCTTACCAAACTATGAGGTAAACATTGAGAATTATCATGTCTTATGTAATCACAGCATAGATATTTCGATTCTCTCGCCTACCCCGAGCCGTAATTTCCACTTAACTCAAGCTGTGTTGGACAGATGACTATCAAACCGTTCATCAACAGAGTTAAGTTATTTTGAAAAGGAAATGGAAATCCAAATGTTCAATGCCTTCTCTCTGAATGGCTGGAGCCGGTAAATCCTCTCAAATTTGACCTAGACCTTATTTCTTTTTGGGTCTATCGCAATGCCAGTAGAACTTCTCTCATGTTCTTCTCTCTTATCCACGCTTCTTTCTCCCCCTCAGTAAATTTCACCTCGAACAATCTCCGTTTCACCTACTGAGACTTTCCTTATCTTCTTCGCTCTGATGGCCACCAAGTATATATATATATATACATGCCTCCCGTGGAGCGCGTAAAATCAGCTTCCTCCTACTCATCAGACGTTTTTTCACTGCCATTCACATCCTCTTGTTTTGAAAAGCTCAGATTCAACCTATACTTAAACACTGCAGTCATGTGTCGGGGGGAGCTTCGTCCAACTCATTCCCGTTTTGATCGAGTACAGCGTAAGGCCATTCGTCTCATCAACAACTCGTCCTCAACCTGTAACTTGCAGTCACTAGCTCACCATCAAGCAGCCACTTCCTTCGTTTCCTTCGTTCTACCGAAATTGTCTCTTTCATCCTTTTCACTCACAATTGGCCATTCACCTATTTAAAGTGATTATCCCTAAGTGCTGCATTTCTAAATTTCGGTCATCTTTTTCCGCCAGGAACAGCACAACTTTGGAACACTCTTATTCTGGTAATCTTCCCTACAACTTACCAAACCCTTATCCTTAAAGAAAGAATCAACAACCGGGTACCCTTCACCATGTACAGTAAGAATATCCTTGGATTATTGTGTTTAACTGTTTTACTGTATTCACATCTGTGCAATGAAAACGAAGGAGAACGAAATGTCCAGTGTTGTGACGAGAATGGTTGAGAACTCGTTAGATTAAACTGTACACAACCATGTTCTTTTTGTTCATTTGTTTGCTTGTTTAGAAGAATCAGGTGGCTTTTCATTCACACATACAGACAGCGTATAATAGATTTTATCGCTAATTCCAATGATAATAAAATTACCACATCAAACAAAATAGCCAGCTGTTCGTCCAGGGTTTGGTCATGAGTCCATGTATGATAATTACGGAGAAGTGCAAACCTTGTTATCCTCATCTCTGACAAAGATAATATAACCCCTAGAAGCGGGAAAAATTCCAGAGGCTGTATTTCTTACTTGATTACTACTCACCCATTTCTCTCCCGTGTATTAGAACTTACCTACTCCGGTTTCGTGTAAAGTGAAGCTAATTATTTGGTACTCCAATCACCGCTGGCTCGGAGTCTGCGTTTCACCAACAAAGTTTGCCGCTCACAATCATTCTAATAAGATTGTCTTGACCCAACTATGTCGACCACATGGCCACATATCCGATAAGCTATGCGCCTCTGAGACTTATCGATTTCTNCGATTTCTGGGCACAAAATAAACCAAATTGAACTGCATATGGCTTGGCTAAATTGTCTACAAATACACACACACAAAGGAATTAAGTGAGATTGAGCTACACACCTCGTATTTCTTTTTACAAGAGTTCATGATAAATGACCTATTCCAAAAAAACTGACCAATATGAATCATGCTCAAAATCACATCGACTGGTCTGAGAGATTTCAGGAAGACCAGTGGGCTTAGCACTCAAGATTGATCGCTGAAAAGAGATACATTTACAAACATACACACACACAGAGGGGCTGGATGTGACACCTGTGGTTTGCTCGAACGCCCCAGAAGTTACATACCTTCCTTGTCAGGCGACTTGCGTGAATCGCCAAAAATGAAGCTTTCAGACGGCGTGCCTATCACCTCACATAATGAGTAAGAAATTTTCCTTAAACCCGCATGTAGTGCAAAGATTATCGCTTCAGATCGCTTCGATCTAACTGTGCATGATCTTGTCATCCTTCAGGTATATCATACCCTGCAAAACACTTTAAATTGGGTGTTTCAACAAATTAAATAGTAAGGCAATGATGATCACTATCATGAATTGAGAGGATTTACGGGTGAAATGACTACTAACAAAACTAATTATTGTTGAGTGAACAATAAAACAATACTACCGGTTTTGTTAGGCATAGTTGAGCCTGTGTAAGAACGAACTGATGTATAGCATACAAATTATGCCGAGTAGTTGTGCCTCACTTTTCTCGTTTTCAGATTGAAAAATTTCATAATTGTTGCTTCAACAGACACCTGCAGTCTTGCAGTCCGGGAGCTCGAAATGCCGGAGTATTTTATGCTTCAACAATAAAGACACCCCTTTGAGTAGCTCGAGTTCCAGGCTGATAGATTAACTAGCGGTGATGTGAAAACTCTCATTCCTTCCAAGAACTGCGGAATCTCTGGACTTACTTCAACCTATGGCGTTAGCATTTTCAAGCATGAGTAGATAGGCTGTGCTTGGATAAATGCTCCCGCAGACTAATGGTGCAAAACTTTTATGATAATAGGATTAGTTCGTGCTTTTATGTGAATAAAGTTGATAAAAAAGTCACCGTTTTGTTACAATTACATGGATATAGTGGTGTGGGAAAACTGATATTGGTTTCGAATGACCATCCATCAGAATTGGAATTCATCCACAATCCTCAATGTATAAAGTTAACCACAAACTCGGAAAACACCACATTCAAGTTTTGCTTCCATTAGAGCTCATCATAAGTAAATATTCATCGTTCTGTGGACCCATTGCATGGAGGACGTGTGTTACAACTGTACCAACCAGCTCACACGGGGGCTGACCACAATTAAGTCGTCATTTTTGTTCAGCTGTCGTCTTCGTTCAAAGTCAGTCAGTTCATTTTTTGCTCAGTTAATCAAAATCCGCTCATCCAACCACGACCCCTTTATAGGATCGAACTAAAGAGGTTTTCAACTTTCACGACGTTGTTTGCTTTTGTTTATCGTTTACTGTTCAAGAAGTTAGACTTAGAGCTACAAACCAGTTGTTGTTTCCTTGTTCTGTAATTTCTGCAACCTTAACTTTGATATTTGAATACTGTGGCTATGGTTTCTCTCGTTCGTCATAACACTGTTAGATAAGAATGATAGAATTGCAACAAACAGGGTAAAACAATTCTTGTCCTGAATATCCACAGGAATTCGTTCGAAATTGTCCACGATCGATATCTTGTATCATGCAGCGTCTTAAGTCAATGTGTTTCAGGTGGACTATGGTCAAACGTCTGGTGTCAATTGCGTCATTCATGTGTTCAAGTCCCATCGCCATCCATCTTTGCCAACTATATATACTAGATATATATATGCGTTAATTTACACTGCTGGAAAATTTAATTTTCCATGGCAAATTCAGCAAATATAGAGAAAAAGAACAGAAATTATATGGAAACGTTTGTGATGATCGACAAAGAGCACTGGACAGCTGTTTAATCCTGTTTGGGACTCGTCAGTAGTGCATACTTCTCGTGTCCTTGTCTGTACTCAAACCGCGAACATTCGGATTGGGACTTCAAACCCTTACCCCTGAGCTACACGGTCGACAGTCATCACCTTGTATGAATGGCTCAATCATTTTATAGTATCAAGCTTGGATTAGTCCATTCGATTTTTCAGAGGCACCAGGCACTGTTGATGGTCTTGGGTGTGGTTTTCACTCCTTGGGAGATCATTAATTGCCCACTAGGTAAATGCATTCAAATCTAGTGGAAATGTTTGTGGTATGTTTACATTTGAATGCATTTTCTTATTGGGGAATCAACAGACTCCTCTGAACAATCGAATGGGCTAATCCAAGCTTGATAATCTAAACAGGAATTATAACTTTTTTTATTAGTTTTCAGATGCAGTGCATCTTGTAATTCGTTTAATGGTGTTGAAAGACTGTGTTTTCATTGAATATCATGATCCTTCGAGCAAAGTTTATGGGCAAGTGGACTAACTACCGAATGAACAAATTTTATAAAAATTGCTACGGAACCATTGGATCGAAAGCTTATTGCTTCCTGTATTAGATAAAAGATGACATTTTATTTCACTAAAAGAATATGAGTTTCCGGATCGGTAACTATAGTCAGTGTTTGAAAAAGATATTATTGCAAATAGTATCACATTCGAGGGTCACGGTGAGAGTGGGGGTGGGAGTGGTATCGTAAAATATACCCACTAACTTCGGCAATAGTAGGCGTGAACTCCCCCAAAAATGGGAATATCATTTGATCTTTGTTCCCGTAAAGAACCAAACTCCCATTCAGGCTCGATTGTGTCCCATCAATAGTGCACGTGATTTACTTGCCAATGACCATCTCTATCGACCGTTTCCCCCTCTATCTCATGGAGTGTTCCTCAGTTGTCTAAAATTGTCCTGGTCTTTCTCTTTTTCTAACGCCCAGTGATCCAAACGATTAGCACCCCATTCCCCTCTACTTATTTTGAGTAAGGTCAAGGAACGAGTGACTTAAAAAGGTATTTCCCTGTCCCATGGATTTCCACGACCTTATCAACGACCACCAATGTCAATTCCGCTTCCACACACTTTGCTACCCGATGGTATGCAAGTCACACATTCGATCCTTCTTCACCGAGCACTATGACGTTCCATTAAGTTTACCCTAACGGGCTCCGGGTAGATCTTCCCAATTTTGAACTCTTCTGCTGTTTCGTCACATGGGACTGAAGCTTCTTTCGTGTTCGTTCAATCTGGGTTCATATTAAGGGGGTCATTTCAAGAACAATTTTGGTGAACCGCATCATCCCACAAAGTTCTGTGCTATCTTTTACCCTCCGCCTTTTCAATCAATTACCTTTTCACCTGAAACTTCTAATCATATTCATGCTTCATCTGAACCCTTACTCAAGAACTCCGGAGTTCTTCAAGAAGCTGTGCGATCCTCATACTTAATTCCCTTGTGTTTCTCCCGCACGAGTTTTTAAATATGCAGATGACGTCGGGCTGTGCCCAACCCATTTGTTCTTACTCCAATCTAAGCTCCTTCACTGACAATCTAGATCAAATTTAGTCATTCTCCTCCTCATCGGGGCTAACCTTAAACCCCAGTAAATGTGTTGAGTGTTTTCATAGTTTTGCTCGCTCTCTATATCCGCAGATCACAGTGTTTAAAAACATTTCTTTATCTAGGGTGAACTCTGTCAAATATCTTGGTGTAACCATAGATAGCAATCTTCATTGGTCAAGCCACATCCACAACTGCATTGAAAAACTGCAGCGCCCATCATTTCAAATTCGAAACTTCAGGCAGTTTCGCGCATCTCGGTCAGCTATTTCTATCTTCTTTTATCAGTTTTCTCATCCTACTTTTCTGTTCCCCAATTATCTTCCCCGGCTTACCCAAGCAGGATTTCTCAGTCTATTATTAGCCATGTCTCTTCTATTCCTGTGAATGAGTTAGCTGTAAAGCTTTCAGAGTATCACGTAACTTCCTTTGTGAAATTTCCGGAGAGGACTCTCACAAATCCTGACCATTCATTGCACGCAGAACTGACACGTTGTCGTTCCAATTATTCAAACGCTCCCAATTCCGCCACATTTCATCTCGAATTAACGCTTACCGCAACTCACCTATACCGTATTTTGTTCGTTTATTCACAAACAAAGAGAGGACAATAAGTGAACATTGTCTTAAACTTGGATTATGAAATGTCCTCTTTTATGTAAAGATTTTCTCCCCGTTGATTATGTACTTTGTGAGGGTTGGCGTGTATCATGTTTTAACTGAAATGTGAGCTCCAGTGCTTACAAACGGTATGCACAATACAATACAATACAATACTTGTTACGACAAAGCGATCCCCGCTTCCGAATGCTCTCTTTCTTATAGCACCAATCGTGTTTACTCTATTCCCATCACTCAAAATTGTTAGTGTGTGCGAGGTTCCCTCATTATAGACCTGATTGTAACCACTGTTTGAGGTATTGAAAATCGATTCGCACCAATGCCACTAGATTGTTTTGAATATCTGTATTCCGTAAACATATTCAATTCCCATACAACCGGAAATTCAATTCTTATCCACTTGGTTCAATATCTTCATTGTTCGTATGCATCCTTNNNGTATTCTTTCTGTGAAAAGCGGTTTTCTGCAACCACTGGTTAAAAGGCTCAAACAATTACCATTACAAACATTTGTAGCCTTGTATGGTAATGGGCTCTGTTATCTTCTTTGGCACTTTTGTGCGGCGTTCAGCTTTTTTGTCGATTTACCCCCTCCTATTCACCCTTCCACCACGCCCCCCTCACCATGCAGTCATTTTTCTTTCCCATTTTCTACCGTTGAAACCATACAGTTTGTTCTGAGGAGCTGGCCGATTTGCCGCTCATTCGTTTCCATTTGCCCACGAGAAGCAGCCACAATCATTGTGTTACTCTTTCCAGGTGAGTTCGAAAACTGTCAAACAGTATCTTTCAAATCCTCCATAACCAGAAACCGCTAAATGGTGAACAAAAGCCCGCCTATCTCTCTCTCTCTCTTTCTCTCTGCGTCTCATGATATTTCTTTAATTATTTGCAGAATTGACAAATCGCGTTTTGGCTACATGTCCTCCATTCCCTTTTGTTCAGTAGTCCCCACGGTAATGAAGTTTACCCCTTAGCTGTACATTACGTCTGCTGTGCAATCAAAAGGTCAATAGTTTTCTCTGATAGTTGAGTCCCACTGATGGTCAAAACCCCATGAGGACATGGTCATGCTTGCCAAGAACTCAAGAACGTATGGTTCGCAAAGAAAGGAATAGCTATTAGTTCTGACCTCTCGATTTTCAGTTAATTAGTTCCATCCTAATGCTACAAGATTTCCAGTTAAAATGGTTCTGGAAACACTTGTAATTTGGTAACTATCTTAAATACTTAAAATATAGGACAGGCATCCAGCGACCACGCGCGCACCTTCTATTCGTTCTAAGTAAATGAATAATATCACCTTGGCCGACGCGATTCGAATTTCTGTTCCAATCTGACAGTCAGCACGAACCCCACCCAAAATACTCAAGTGCACTGATTGGATGTCAACTGCACTCCATTTGAGAACACGCTGGTCAATAGCAAACGGATGGGGGTGACAAGGGTCGCTCGGAAACCAGACGAAGACAAAATAGACACACACACACACATCATTCTGGTTTCGTTACCTATCACAAAAATGAAAGTCAAACGTGTCACCAGCACATTCCTGATCATCTCGACCGAGCCTGGGACAGGATCGGGATGGGGGGAAGGGGTTTAACTCACCTTCACCGGTCGTTCTGCATCACGACGAGTAAATCGGAAAACGATCACAATGAACACGCACAGTCCGATCGCAAGCCATTGAACGAACCCCAAATAGGTGATGAGCGAATTTATACTTCCGGTTAGCAGGTAGACGATCGAGACTATACACTGCGTGTGTGCATGTGTGATGGGGAGAACAAGTGAAGAGGATTGAAAACGAGGACATGATGATAAAACAAAGCGACATAATCCCAGTGTGCTTGCTCACTTCAAATAAACCATGCATAAAATGACAAATACGTGATTGTGGATGTTTTTTTTACAAGGATTGATACGCACAAGTGGTTTATGCATGAATCAGCCATGCAGGCGCGTTCCATCTAGTGACGTAACGGAGTCCAATGGCCAGTTAAATCATAAGAAATAGTACATTCTATCGCAGCTGGCCATATTACGTATCTTCGCCGGGATTGGTAATCTAATCTGTGGTATGGCGATTTCCTTCCAAAAGCAAAACAATCATTTGTGAATTGCATACCAACTCTCCGACCGGATTTTTCTGCAGCGTACGGTGTGTTTATGCCAAATACTCGTTGAATGACCTTGAACTTTGTTTATCCATGATATGTGGGTGTATAATAAAGTGCGCATTCTGTCCGTTTTTGAAGTGATAAACAAACGTTCAGATGCTGTACAGGGTGAAAATATTTTCTCGTTGCGAAGGTCAAATCAAATCTGTATTGCCGTTGGAGCAAGGGTTGCGTAGTTTGGTGGAGCGCGGAAGTTCCACAAACTAGCCTTATTCTTCCGCATTACAAAAGGGAATCGAGTCTTAATACAGTCCTATTCCGTCCGAAGTTTTTGGATTTCAGCGCAGGTTGACGAAACGGGGCGTGCTCTAATAAAAATGTCTACCGTATTTATACAACAGTTGTCCGATTACAATGAATGTTGTTTCGCTTGTTCTTAGCAATAAGATAGGCTATTTCTCTCTCTGTCTCTCAAGGGATGTCGATCATTTAGCGCTGGTTTGTATAGTGAAACTGAAAAATTCTTTTATTCTTTACTAACGATACTAATGATTAATCATCTCTCCGCTCCCATATCACGTCTGATACGTCCCGTTTCGATAGAAGGAGAGGGCTAGAGCAGCAACAGATCCCTAAAAATTACTCTTCACTTTTGTCAACCACTGCAAATCTATCGAAAACATCCGATCCCAACCACGAACTAATCAGTCCGAAATTTCATACTGAGAGGAATATGGACAAAAATGTGAATTAAAATATTCGATTCCGGTCAGTCTGTGAAAATGAAGACAGTGTATTTCCAAACACATACCTACGTATACAACATGTCCGAGTGAAATGAACGAGCTACAGTGTCTTCATTTCCATAGTTTTCTTTTTATCAACAGCATTAGTGCTTATTCAAGTCCGATAAAGAACGGATTGATTTGTCAATCCCAAGTAAAACGAAACACGGGGAATAATGCCATAGCGCATGCGGATCCGAGCAGTCTTGCGTCATACGGGCGCTTGAACCAAATGGCCATGATTCATACATCAGGTGCACGAAAGATGGTTCCTGCACTATAATCTTTGCATAAAATGACCCCATTTTGACTGAAACAATAAACAACAATCCAAAATGGGCTTCACTCTAAAACCGAAAGGAGAGCAAACTGTTTTCAAGTCAAGAAATCAATGGCATTCTCTAAGCATTTTTATCGTTGACCTGTTTTGTTATCAAAATATGGAATGTTTGGGGCATCCACCTTAGAAACGCAGTGGTCAGTGCACATCGGAAATAGTTCCGATAGATTGAAGCCCCATCTCCTGTAGTTTTAAGTATCTGACCAACCTGAAAACTAGAAAATGGGGTTTTTGAATAATTTCACTTGTTTTCTTCATTCCTCAATGGGCCGAAATTACACTTGAGCCTGTACCTTATTCACTCGAAAGCGGATAAGTAAATCTGGGCGGATCCACCAAGGGGGAACGGTCAGTATGCATTGGAACAGAAAACCACAGATGTGTAATGTTCGAACAAAGAGCTTTCATAGGTCTCTTTCAGACATCTATGATGTCGCGATGTTCAACCGGAATGGGATGCAGAATTGTACCTCATACTCCCGACCAGTCGACCGCATTCTATCTGACTACGCGAAGAAGATAAAGATTCCGTACATTTCCAACGACAAATTTTTTTCCTGATGGTGAAATTATTTGTAGTGGCTGGCAAAGATCAACGGACAGCTTTTTCATCCTTGTTGGGGTCAATTGCAACGCGCACCTTTTTCATGTCCTCGTTAGGACTCAAACAGCAAATCTCTGATTTAGAAGCCGAATTTCTATGCTATTTTCTAGTGTGCCAAATAGTGTCACTGATAGGGACGGAAAATCGCTTGAGGTGTGACTCTGAGCATGAATCGTTTACAACAAACTATCTCTATAATTTTTCGCATAAGTTATTTTCTCGACCTCGATTGAACAATAATCCTTTTTCATTATTTTCTCTTGGAAATCAGTTCGTAGCACACATCGAAGGACAGCTCTAAATGTTTCCAGGCCCCGAAAAGAGTAGCCCAATGGAAACAGTTTTGAGTGTTCCAAAAGTATTGCACTCGTCTATACAATCGGAACATTGTGCGGTTGGTCAATATAATTCATCGTGGTTTGGGATGCTCTCCCCCCCCCCCCNCCCTCTCCGACAGAAAACGAATTTCCACCACTTTCCATCACGTTAAATGTGGGCGTAGCACATAAAAACCAACATAAAAGGCACCTTAGATCAGACGTACCGTGATCATCACAGCAGGAATTGGCGTAAGTTGAGTCATATGCAAAAATGAGCAGAATCGGGGCATTTGGTTTTCTTGACTGGCCACAAAGAAGATTCTAGACGTGGTCATAATTGTTCCGTTGACACCGCCAAAAGTTGAACAGGCAACGAAAATTGGCATGATCCACCAAACCGGGCCGTAAACACGAGTAGCAAATGTCTGTGTTCGATAGGAGTGATGGGTAAGAAACACACAGACACAACAGATCTTGGTTTTACACTTTGTTCAAGCTTTGAAAGAAGTCCACACAAACTCAGAAAGGAAAGATACGCTGAAAAACTTTTGGTGGGCACACAAATATCCATCGCATTATGGAGCAACAGAATCAAAGATTCAACATAACTATACATATAGGATGGGGCTACACACAATAAGAAAAATTTCCCACGAGGATGTTGATATTGGAGATAATGATGGTTATGATAATTATTTGGATGATTCGGATGATGCTGACGATGATGACGTTCATGATGATGATGACAGCCATAGAATTGTTCGTCTCCAAACAGCTGGGAGAAACTTTCAGTTAAAGCTAAAAGCATCCTCTGCTTTAAATTCATTCATGGTGCGATCTGTGACTTGTTACAATATACAAATACTCATACTGCATAACCCCTTAAAATATTAAACAATGGATATCGAATACAGCGAAATTCAATTTATTTTCTTAGCGATAATTGAAAAACACTAATTAATCATGAAGTTACATAGTTGAATCGCAATAACAGGTTCCTACTTAGTTCATTTGGTCACATTGTTGTATGTTCGCAAGCTGCTACTTTTCAGTGAGCTACTGAGAGATAGATTTTATCCTCCTTGTTAAACAGTGAGTAGTATTGATTATTTTTGTAAACCTGGACTGAGAGACTCACAATAGCCACAGCCGGAGATGTGAGAATTTCGTTCACGGGAACCATGGTCACATAAGCCACATTGGCCAGTGTGTACACCGTGGTAACAGTCAGGCAGGAGAAGACAATTGCAATAGGCAAATGCTTTTTCGGATTTGACATCTCCTCGATCATGCAGTTTAAATAGTTCCAACCGGAGTATGCGAATAGACCATTGTAGAACGCATTAGCCAATGCACCAGGATTCCAGTTGGAACCCTCGAACGCGTCCTGAAAACCTTCCGTATAACCTGAAATGAGCAGTTTGCACAAGCATCAAGCAGACCATCTCGAGGTGAGAAGGAAATTTTTCATAGTACAATCGGAACTTGAATTGTTTCTGTTACAGCTTGATTAATTTAAAGATAACCTACATCCAATGCGACTTGAAAAGCACACATAAGGCATTCATACGAACTTCACTGATCAGCAAAGAACTATGGATTGTTTTCTTATCCCAACTAAGGGTTCCTCCTGGTAAGAGTATAACCTAAACTGAATATGGTTACTAGTGGGTTTCCTGGGTCGTGACCGGACGCTCTTCCTTTGCACCTCGAGGCGGTGTTTTTCAACCATATTGAGAGGACAAAAGCCAACACCCGGAACTATAGCTCGGCCATCGGACCACGGGCAGTTCACTTAAGGCAGTTGGAACAAATCTCGATTTCATAACGAACTAACTCACATTTTCCGTCGTTCTGGTAGCGGTCGCAGTCTCGACTGGAAAGCGAGGCGTATTAGGAACTTAGGCCGTGTGACCCTGTTGACAAAGCAGGTTATTAGGTAAACGGCCTACAATGGTTTTTATTGTTCACTTTTTTACTAGTACGAACCCCCCCAATAAATTTTGTATAATTCAATCTGTCCCAATTTTATCTAACCATCCAAAAACCTTTTATGATCTCATTTGTAATTTATACTATGTTTTGTTTCTATCAGAAAATGAATCAATAATATTCAAATCATTGGCTGAAACATCCTCCGTTGAGATAGATACACGTTCGGTAATCAAAACTTTGAATCATTTGCTGAATACTTTAACAATAACCTAATGTTTGCTTTATCCCAGGAAAATTCAAATAGATAAAATTTATCAATTCGGTGGGGTGCAGCAAATGTCTATTGAGTGTGGCTTACAAAATAATAACCGCCAAAGCAGGCCCCATTTTATGTAGATTGGACTGCTTAGTAAGAAAAAAATTCAATTTTTACGCTCCTTTTTATGAAAATGTCTTCCTTTTTGTTCAGTTCATTCATAAAATGTTTTAGTTGTCACTCAATAATCAGTTGGGCCATGATTACTCTTACCGTTTTATAAAAAGATGGTTTTACAGTAAAAGTTTCGGGATAAGCCATCCAAATATTTAACAATTAACACTTATTTTGAACATTTTTATCAAACAAAAGCCTTTTTGTGAAAATGGTGAGTGTGCAATTTACAAAAGCGATCTGACCTGAAGTATTGCTTTGGGTTATCAAATCAGCGAACTTTTTCTTTTTTGTCTAGTTTGAATCACCTTTATTATTATTTTATATAAAAACTATCAAAATTGGTGGGGATTTTACTCAAACGTTTACCTTCAGTCAGCTTGAGTTAAAGCTGTTCACAGATACCTTGATAATTGTGTCTTATGCATTGTTAATGTAAAATATTGAAATAAAAAAATTATTTGTATTGCTGTTTGGTTGTATACACTGATGATCGCAATTTGCATAATTTCTTATGTTTTTCAATAACGCGGCATATCTAATCGGTTTCAGAGGCCATTGGCAACAGTGATGGAAGTTTCAGGCGTATGCCTTGAAATGTACTTACCTCGACCAATTTGGACCAGACCTGTCACAATGATCAGCAGTAAGGCTGCCATCTTGGCGAACGTAAAAATATCTTGCACGCGTGTTGACATACGAACAGAGATGGAATTGATGAAACTGAGGAGAACTGGAGGATTTGGTGGTAAATAAAGACAAAAACAATTGAGAAAGATAACATTATTATGTATTAGACCTTTTAATTGCGATTAAGATTTGAGAATATTTATTGATTCTAGAACCAGTTTCATAAAGCAAGATGAAATACAAGTCGGTTTGTAACATTTTTTTCATCATAATGAGATTATCACTTCTGAGCTCCTCAAAAATATTCCGTTAATCGTTTCACTCTCTTGTGATTCTTCAAAGCTATTCTCATAATTAACACTGTTTTGCTACATCTAAGGCATCTACTTCATTTTCATGTTTTTATACGTTGCATAATACAAATTATTTTAGTTTAGTCTTATAGTTATCCTTAGTTGATGCTCTCTCAAACAGTCCTGAGAATTAGTACCTAACCGTAACATACATTCAAAGAAATTAAACAGTATTTTGGTTACTGATTCGTGATTGAAACCAAGAAAGTATACTGAATTTGGCAAAGAAACGACTTACGGACACACATAGTAGCCAAGCACATCCTTGCCTCCTTTGGCTGTTCGCAGTCGGGATAGAGCGGCTGCAGAATGTACTGCGCGAACGTCATTCCTATGATTGCAATAGCCACTGGACGGGCAACTATCACCTCCACCCAGAGTCTCAAAAAGCCAACAAAAGGGCCAAACGCTTCCAGAACATAGGAATAATCTCCACCGGAACGATGCATCATCGTGCCCAGTTCAGCGTAACAGTATGCGCCCATCAGTGAAAACAGTCCACACGCGATCCAGATAACAATGCTTGCACCAAAACTGTTCACGTTAGCCAGGATTCCTGACGGACTGATGAAAATTCCGGAGCCGATGACTGAACCGATAATGATTGTTATACTGTTCAACAAGCCGATGGTAGGTTTCATCCGCACTTCGGCACTTGAAGCTCCACTAACAGACACAACTTCTGGATCTGGCTTTCCATTTTTCTCATCCGATGAATTGAGCCGTAATGCATTTATCGCCTCGTTGCTGTTAATAGCGATTAACGCCAGCATTTGAAATATTAACAAAGTAAATATGAGAAGTGTTACATAGGATCTTGGTATAGAACAAGCTACAAATGCACATAGTTAGGTGACAACATTTGCCATATAATTAAATCTAATCGCCAATTACACTCGTTTAACAGGTTTAAAACGTTTCTAGCTGAGTCGTAGCCCTCAATTCTAGTGCTGTTTTGCGTACTGTGTGATTTTTGCAGTGGATATTGGGTTGTATCATGTATAAGCAAAATAAGGAATGTCTAATCAACTATCCAGTAATTGAGTGGGTAATATGCTTGTGTTCCACCTGTGAGGTCCCGAGCTCGATGAACTCACATTATTTGTGAGGCCGAACTCGGCTGAACCAGCTCTCCAGTGCTCTTTGACTTTTCAATTACACTTCATTTGCTTTACACAGGATGAAATTTGCAATATAACTGACTCAGGTCCTCCCCTACTTTCATTAAAATAGACAAGTATTTTTGTCAATAGAAGCTATGGTTCCAAGACTTCTTGCGTTTCTATCACCTAATTATGTTCACCGTCCCGGTTCCATATTTTTCCTATCACGTTACGATCAAATACATCAAATTAATAGTATCTACATTTTTTAAAGCTGCATTGGCTCTGTGTACAAACTACACACGTCTGTTTGATTGACCACTCGAGAGAAATTGATTCTTTCCCACGTTAGATCACAATCCGTTTTTAAGGAAAAAATCGATTCACATATCCAGCTAACCGATCACCGTCAGATGCTTTGGTACCCTTGGCACAAATTAGTTACAGTAAAATGTACCGTACTTGTCTATTACATTATATTAATTATTTTGTTTACCTTAACCGGCCTTGATCTTTATACTTACTACCGACATCTGGCTTCTCTCATTTAGTTCTCTATTATACATTTATTCTCTGATATATATTAAATCTGCCAAAAATGGGACTTATTTTACCTTATTTACCTTACTTATTATATTCGCTCTCAATCTTCTCCAAGATCTACCTAAATGCTAATCTGCATCTGTTTCTTTTCTGCATGCATATTTTGATTTGCCAGGTATATATAATGCACTATTAGCATGAGGTGTGTTTAATCTATGCAAATAGCACACAAATTCAACTTGTTTAGTATTTTCAAATTTAATGTATGTTAATTCTTTAGTAAAAATCTGTTTATCAAATCATTCAAATGTAATAAGATTTTGTTTTCTGTCCCCAAAAAACCTCGTTCATTGTCAACTTCCCAATGCTTTGCATTGATGATCAAAGGATTGCAGTTACTAAATCGATAAAACATTTTATTGTCACTATTTCGTAAGAACTCACATGTTTTAAGATTTTTTAAACGATCATATACCTCTTATTTTATGTGACGTAGCCTATTTTTTCCAGCTCAGAAATTAACCTATACAATTTGCGCACGTGAAATTAACACCGCATTTATTGCATTAGTCCCCAGCACTATTTTACTTGCTCCAACTGAAACGAATATTAGATATCATACATTATATTGTTTTTCTATATATTCTATATTTTGCATGGCTTAGTTTGCGTAAATGCCAGCACGTTAGATTTCGTATTCCGACCTAGTGGCTTGTAATATCATTGGACTTTTAAGTTTAGAGAAGTTTGTTCCTCAAGAAGTTGTGTAAGATGTCACACATTTGTTGTGTGAACAAAGAATACGATATACACATTGAAAACTGGAGATCTGTAAACTCTTAAATATTCATGTACTACTGTATAGCTTTTTTATTGTTTGATGCCTGCTAAAAACCTAGGGGTGAATAAAACACGAGTTCTGCAAAAATAATGATTTTGGTTTTGTAATGCCAATCTAAACACTGACTTTCATTCTTCCTTCTCAATATTTTCAACTGTCTTGAGGATTATAGAAAATAACTTTTCCACCACTTGCGGGAGAACACTTACAGGTCAATGTCCTTTTTCATTTTTTACGAAGAATCTAAAACCAAATATGGAAGAACAATAAACTTTATTAAAAGTAACAGAATTTCATTGTGTTTCTTTTGCAAACCGATATAGATATATATATACATATCCAGTGTAAATCGAAATTCAAAGAGTAACAACAGGTTAAACTTGTTGCAGAATTTTGCTGTTTCATTCGTACTTCAGAAGTATGCTTATTCAGAGTTCTTTATTGGTTTCTAATAGTTTTATGGTATTTGAAATAAATAAAGCTTATCTTCTTAGCAATAACCTTCCGACAAATGTTGGATCATTTATTTAAATGATAGTTTCATGGGTCAAGAATCCTTCTTATTCGTTAGGAAAATATCAGTGTCTTCATTTATTGTGCCCTTTCATATTACCCACATTTTTTTATTTCGCAGTAAATGGCATGTCTCTTTGTTGCCGTGGTAGATACTGCTCATGAGAATAATTATGCACATTATGCACATCTTCTTGGCATCAGAAAATGTTTAGCACATTTCTGATTACCCTAATGATAAGAGAAGAGCCCAACGTCTTCTGTGCGACGTGTGTTCGAAGCCCACTACCATCACCTGGCTTCCACCATTGTGTTTTGTGTGGCGGAATTTGATATATATATATATATATGTATATATATATATGTATATATATATATATATATATATATATATATATATATATATACGCACATAT